CCCAGTGGCTCTTTTGTGGGCCCCCCCCCATCCTTACCCTTGGAAAAGGAAGAGGTTGAGGTGGTTGTATTTCTTGGTGAGGAAGTTGCCCAGGATGCGCGTGGGGTAGCCACAGCGGATCTGGTAGGCTGACAGAGCAAAGTAGAGGCACTTCACAAAATACCAGAGCTGAGCCACCGTGTTCAAGTAGAACATCCTGGAGAGGAAGAAACAAAGAGGCATGCACTGGAGTAGACCCCTGCCCCCTCGCGCCCTGTGTTCGGATCAAACGGTGGCTGGCCAGTTCCCTCTGGGAAGCCCGCCGGCCCCCGCTCCTGCTTGCCCACAGAAGAGAAAGGCCCAGGGGCTCCCGTGCGACTGACGGACAACACAGAGACTGCCAGAAAGACAAGCAAGCGGGTCCAAAACGACTCAGCTCCATCTGGGCGCCATCACGAGAAGACAAGACATGTCACGGAAAAGACCGCAATGTGGTGAAAGATGGGAAGCCGCAGGAAAAGAGGAAGAACACACAGGAGAGGGATTGACCCCCTCAAGGAAACCACAGCCCTGAGTTTGGAGGTCACTCCTTCACAGGGTCAGAGGTGAGAGCCCATCGCAATGACAGTGACCCCCCCATGGAAAGTGGTCTCCAACTCTCTTGAACAGCATTGATGGACGGCGCTCACCTTCTTCTAAACAGGCAGCCCTCAGTCCACCTTGTGGCAGGGAGTCCCACTGTTTAAGGCTGTGTTGTGTGTGAAGCAGCCTCTTCTGGCATCCCTCTTTGCCCCCCCCTTCCCACCACCCAGCGTGGCCCCTCAGGCTACCTGTCCGTGACGGCAGGCAGGATGAAGAACATCCAGATGTGGATGCCGAAGACCAGGAGGACCTGGAAGATGAGCTTGCCCAAGACGCTCTTGCGCAGGTAGAGCGCCCGGTCGATGACCATGGTGGAGAACTGGATGAGCAGCATCACCAGGAAGGCCTGGGGGACCTGGTCCTCCGAGAGCGAGGAGGTGATGTCGGCTGCGGCCGAGTGTTTCTGGAGAGGGAAAGAGGTCCGCATGGGGAGGGGCTCGGCCGACCAGCGGGAGAAGGAGCCGACCCCTCCCGTGGGAAGAAGCCCTCCAGATCTCCCCCCACCCCCACCTGGTGGGCAGATGGACCCTGGCCTCTGGCTGGACTTTGATCTGGAGCAAGGGATCCTCCAGATGGGGTTGGACTTCAGTTCCCAGGAGCCCAAGCGAGAAAAGCTGCTGGTCGGCGCTTCCAGGAGCTGAGATCTGCCACCGTTTGGAAGGTCAGAGGTGGAGACACACGGCTTTCGAGGAGGGGTGGGCCATTTTCTGTCCTGCCCAGACGGTGCTGGATGGCAACATGTCAGTCCCAAGAAGTAAAAATTCCCTCTGTGGAGTCTGGACCTGGCCTGCCTTCTGTTTCCCTTTCTTTTTCTCCCACCTTTCTTCTCGACTCTGGATGCTTGGACTGGAAGCGCCTTGGGGCAGGGACCTCGCCCTGCAGATTGTCCTGCACCAGCACTGCATTGCACGGTGTAAACTCACTTTGCTCCCCCACCAGGAAAACGCCCCACCCCGCTTACCCCAAAAGCCCAGAATCCAAAGATGATGATGATGAAGTCCACCACATCAGCCAGGAACATAAGGGCATAGACGTCCGTGGCCGCCCGGTACTTGCTGTGCAAGATGTCCCTGAAGAACTGCCGCAGGGGCTCAAACACGCGCCCGGCACTGGGTGGGGGGGTGGGAACTGGGTCAGAGCAAACCTGTCCTTCCTGGCCACGGCTTGGGGAAGTTACATTTTGGGGCTGCCAATCCCAGGCCCCTCCCCTCCTCCCAGGCAAGAATCCCCCGGCTGGCAGGGGATACTTGGAGAGCCAAAAAGTAACTCTTCCGCCCAAGAGTTACCCCCCCCC